TGGCTAGTGGCTACTACATTGGATAGTACAGTCCTAGATGTTTTAATATTTGGGCAGGAGTTGACTTGGGCACAGAAAGAGGCTTCTTGGAAGGAAAGCAGAGAGAACAGAGATAAGGAGAAAAGTGCTACTCTGGTGGCTCCTGTCTTTCTCCATGGCCATGAGTGGGGTGAGCAGGGAAAGAGACCAGCAAGCCAGGGGAGCTGAGTAAAATTTGAAATCTGTGTCATGTTAATTCATTCTTTCATTTAATACTTTGTATCCTTGCAGAAATCATCCTATAATACTTAAGCCTGGACTGTGTATGCTATGGGAATGGGGTCAGGCGTCATTGGAAATCTCAGAGTAAAGTCTTGACCTGTTAACTTTTTCTCATCTTAATAAGAACCACAGGCTGATAATGTATATTTTTTACTTCCACAATACCATTGATGGAGTGAAGAACAAAATGTGGCTGAACCCCAAGTTGCCTAATGGGTGGAACCGACCTGTTATTTTAGGCAACCTTATCTTAGCATAGTATTGTTTAAGTACTCCCCAGCTTTAACATTGGGGGTGGGGTAAAAAAACAACAACACCATAAAAGCAAAATCTGTTCTCCCTTGTTCCTTGAACTTTAAGGCTTTAAAACAGATATAGTTGCCTTTACTCTGAGCCCCTGGTCCCTTCCTTGTTACAGAATGAAATTGACCTAATTCAGACTATGAAGCCTAAGGATGTCCAGCATTCATGAGATTGTACTCTTAATTAATTAGGCACAGCTAAAAGGAACATCAGACCAAATGAGACCAAATGGATTCTCTGGGTCCCTTTTATTTGTTGTTTTATTTTGCTGTTATCATGGATTTTTAGTCACTAGAGAACAGAAACTTACTAAGTTCACTGTGAGAGAACAACCATATTTATCTTTCTGACCTCATGCAGTTCTTAGGGAACTGTGCGTTCTGAGAATTAAACAGTAAAATGCTCCCACTTCTCTGTCTCTTTATTTCTCCCCTAAATGGAACAAAATCCTCATGGACCAGACTATTTTGAGGGATAAGATTCTGATTATACCTTCATTCCAAGACAGGAGTGGGAATCACACTAACCTGGATATGGATGCTATGTAGGAGTCAGGCTGCATGTGGGATCTATGTGTAAGGGCCTCATGGAGGTTATGGACTAATACCGTGTTTTTCAGTGGTGGACTTTTTTATTTAGGATAATCCTGATGACCCTGGGGTTTACAGAACAATTCTACTTATTGCTGTTCCCTGCCCAGCAAATATCTGTATGACTCTCTAGTTATTGTGACGATTAAAACCTGCCTCCACCCGTCCGGGCGTGGCTCAGCGGTTGAGCATCGACCTAGGATCCAGGAGATCGGGGTTCAATTTCCGGTCAGGGCACATGCCCGGGTTGCGGGCTAGGCAGCCAATCAATGACTCTCTCATTATTGGTGTTTCTATCTCTTTCCCTCCCCCTCCTTTACTCTCTTGGAAATCAATAAAGATATATTTAAAAAAAAAACACACAAAAAACCTGCCTCCACACATTGCCAAATTGTCCTCTGAGGGGAGAGGAGGGGCGATGTCACTCATATTGAGAACCACCGTGTTTTAAAGGGCAGTGCTATTTTAAAAGTTCACTCTAATTTCTGCCCCTTAAAATATAGCTATTGCCCTGGATTGTATGGCTCATTTGGTTGAGCATTTTTGCTTGCACTGAGAGGTTGCTAGCTTGATTCCAGTCCTGGGGACGTGCCCAGGTTGTGACTAGATCCCCAGTAGGGGGTGTGCAGGAGGCAACCAATCAATGGTTCTCTCTCACCTATGTTTCTCCCTCTCTCTCTCTCTCTCTCTCTAAAAAAATCAATAAAAATAAAATACAGCAATTATTTTTAGGTTTTTCCTCCCAGGGTCTTTTTATACATATTTGCTTTCTTTTTCTTTTTTTTTCTTTTTTAAAAAATATATCTTTATTGATTTCAGAGAGAGGAAAGGAGGGGGAGAGACAGAGATAGAAACATCAATGATGAGAGAGTCATTGGTCGGCTGCCTCCTGCACACCCCGGACTGGGGATCGAGCCTGCAACCTGGGCATGTGCCCTGACCAGGAATCGAACCCCTATCGCCTGGATCCTAGGTCGATGCTCAACCGCTGAGCCACGCCCAGCCAGGCTTTCTTTCTTTTTTTAATCCTCACCTGAGGACATGTTTTTACTGATTTTAGAGAGAGGAAGGGAGAGGGGAAGAGAGCCCAAAACATTGATTGGTTGCCTTCCGTATGCACCCCAACTGAGAATTGAACCCACCTTTTGGTGTACAGGACGATGCTCCAACCAACTAAGCCACCTGGCCAGGGCTATGTTTTCTGTTTTCATAGTGTACATAAAGTAGGAAGTATTATTGGGACCATACTGGCCTCAGCTTCCACTGGAGCTGGGGAAAACTTCAGCCCAGAAGGCAAGGTGCCTGAGCAATGCCTATAGTCACCCCCCAGGTCCAATTGATTTTATGGCAGAAAAGTATCTTTTTCATATTAACATCTTGAAACAATTTCGAAACAGACTGTAAAACAGGAATAAACTTGTATGTGAACTTCAGAGGCTGCTACAAATTTCCATTACCCCTGTACTGGTCAGATAGATTTGGATTCTTCATACCCCCTCTTTAAGGTGTGCTCCAAGTAGAAAATACAGACAAAGCCAAGGACTTGGGCACTTAACTACATGTATTGGGAATGCTTTGGTTGTAAGGAATAGCTTAACAGTAGCTAAAATAAATATGGGGTTTATCTTTATCGCATTATAAAAGTTTTGACTTGAGCAACTGTGGCCTGACATAGCTGGACTTTCTATGATTCTTTTGGTCTTTTAAGATTGAAATATGTAGCTCTAGTCATCACATCCATGTTCAAATGCTAGAAGGAAGGCTAAAATTTTCTCAGAAGCTCCCAGTAGATAAATCCCTATATCTTCTTGGCCAGAATTGGATCACATGACCACCCCTAGCTGCAAGGGAGTCTGAAAAAGCAATAGGATTGTATTGATTGGCTTGTACCAGTAATTCACCTTCCCTGGGGCTGGGTACACTGTTAACTCTAACAAGGAAGTTGGGTTTTGGTTAATTAAACGACTATGATAGGTCTATTCCAATGCCTACAGCAAGAGGCATTAGAAAGTATAGGATTGAGTGGGTCTGTACCCCAATATTTGTTCCAGTCTATCATTCATAATGCTGTATATTAAATGGTTTTACAGAAAAATGTTCAACTGTTCACTTTGGTCCTTTGAAACCCTTGTTATATATGTATTTCTTATACTTCAGCTGTATTCTTTTCTTTGCGGTTTCACTTGTTTCCATTTCTCAACCCACGGAACATATACTGTAAAGGTGTTTTTTCTCCCTTAAAATGTCCTTCCAACTTGTTGGTCTGAGTTTTTTATTTTATTCCTCTGTTGGTCTTTCCATCAACTGACTCTTATTGCCCTCTGTCTGAATTGTCCTTGCACCCATTCTGCCTTGCAGATGCATGTCATGTATGCCAGCTAGTTGAAAGTCTCAAATTTACGTCTGGTACTCTACTAACCTTCCCTTTTTCTCTTTCTCCTCCTCTTTCTCCTCTCCTCTTGTTTTCTCTCCTTCCTGTTGCTGCTGCAGAGCGTCTCTACAGCCAACTTGAGCGAAACCGCCTGCTTTCTAATGAGCTGAAGCTAACGCTGCATGATCTATGTGACTGATGGCAGGGCTCTCTGATGCCCATTAAACTGAGCTTATTGCTCACACCACTGACCTGGACCCCAGCAAAAAGCTGATTGTGTTTTTAAAAGTTACTAAGTTGCCCTAAGCAAATTGCTTTTTAATTGGGGCAGTTAGAGTATTGTTGACTTCCTAAGAGTACTATAAAGTAGGAATGTTTAATATTGCATTTCTATCCCTTTTCAAGAGATTGTGGATGATGAAGGGAGGGGCCTGAGAGGTTATAGTGAGAAAACCTAGGAGAGTTTTCTACTTTCCACCCTTACTTGCTGCTCTTTCACTTGTGCACTGACTGTACGATACATACGTTCCCTTGAATGGATGTTTTCTAACAATAAAAGGAATGACTTGACAAGATGTTGTAACTGCTTCATCTGCAGGCCCAGCGATGGGCCCTTCTGATTGGGTGCAAAAAAGGGAAGGAAAAGAAAAGGGCATGGAATATTAATAGGTCTGTGTGCCATCACCTTATCTGAGTTGAAAATTTCAGTATTTTCCCACCTCCCTAGAGCAGTCAGAGAGGTTTGCTTTCTGGGCAGATTAGATTCTCTTTGATGTCCAGCTACTGGTTTTCTTCCTGAAATTTTCCCTCTTGCTTTTTCCTGATTCTATGTTTAATTTTAAGTAACTGTGTCACAGGCTAATTCTGGCTAAAAACTGCAAAAATCTCAAGGTTTTGCTTACACATATACATTTGGTAGTTTCTTGGCATTGTTTTCTTTAGAGATTCTTTTACTTAAAACTATGGGGTTCTTTTATTTATCCCACCAATTATCCCTTCCCTCTCTACTTTTTGAGGAAAGCCTATAGTGCATGAGAATCCCCTATACTCTTTTCAAACGGAGATCCTGATGTTTCTACTGGTAGAAATACGTCCATTCTTATTCTTAGTGGTCAAGCCCCAGTGGCCATTTCAAGTAGGTATTGTTCTATGGGCAAACGAATGGATGACTGGTGTTTAAGGCTGCCTCCTTTGAGGACTGAAAGCTATAGGGCTTGGTTGGGTGTGGGAGGTAGAGGAAATGACTGCTGATAAGGTTCCCAACTACCCCAGAAGTACAGCAGCACCTGCAACTTCAGTAGGCAAGCTAGAGGCCCTGCAAAAACCACGTGATGCAATAGCTAGCTCACTTCTGTGGCTGAGAAAGCAACTGCTTTATTAGTGCGCAGCTTCCTTGCAACAGGAGCAATTCTCAAAGTGGGTAGACCTTGAAATTTACTTCTGGTTTTGTAATATCTCTCCTTTACCTCCATTAGATAAACTGAAATGCACCAAAGAGGAACATCTTTGTACACAAAGGATGCTGGACCAGACTCTGCTTGACCTGAATGAGATGTAGAGCATCCCAGTCCTGCCCTGCCGCTGCTCCTCCCTCTGACCCTGACTCTGCCTGAGGCCAGCCTGCTCGAAGCTGACCTTTAAACTGAGGGCTGATCTTTAACTGGAAGGCTGCTTTCTCCTTTCACTGCCGCCCCCCACCCGCACCCGTCTTTTTCGCCAAAACTGTCTCTGCCTCTCCTCAGAGATTCTGATTGGGCTAGAGGCTGAGCACCTTTGGGAACAACATTTAAGGGAATGTGAGCACAATGCAAAGTGTCTTTAAAAGCATGTTGTGATGTACACATTTTGTAATTACCTTTTTTGTTGTTGACGTGGCAACCATTTGTGAAACATTCCAAATAATTCCACAGTTCTCAAGCAGCAGTCTAATTCCTTTCTCACTTTTAGGAGGTAATTTTTCATCTTAATCCATATTGCCCTCTCCATAGAGGAGGGGAAGAGACATGGGCCTGCCTTACTGAGAGCCAAATAGCCCAGAGAAAGACTCCACTATGGGGGATCATTGCTTTGTGCAGAGTACTAGCCAAACCAGAAAGGTGATTCCAGGAGGAGTTGTTCCCCCCCCCCAAAAAAAAAAAAAGTGGTGATCAAGTTTCACCTTTTAAGGTATCTTTGGGAAATTTTGTTTTGTTTTGTTTTTATCAGAAGTGACCAAATTAAATGGTGAGACCTCTCTGTCTGGACCAAATCCTTGTGCCATCTCTACCCTCTTCCCAGTGGTTTACAGAATGGATTATGTGCCCCTTATGTTGAAGTAACCAGTTATTTGCTCTCCTGCCTCCTTGAAAGAAAGAAAATTATGTTTTTGCCACTGATTTAGCCATATGAAACTCATCTCGTCACCCTTTTCTGGGTCTGAAGCTGCTGTCTCTAAAAGTGCCATCTCATTGTGCTTTGTATCAGTTAGTGCTGGAGAAATCTTGAATAGTTTATGTACAAAACTTCTTAAATTTTGTATTATTTTGAAACTTTGCTTTTTGGGGTTGAGGTGCACTGGCCACCCCATCTGGCTGTGAGAGCTCACTAGAGGCTGGGCTGGCAGTGTGCTGATCTTTAAAAGTTTCTTTCCCTACCCAATACTCCATTTTTGGTGAGGTTTTTGTGAGGTTTGTTAGGTGCGCATCCTGCAGCTTATTGGCTTAAAATGTACTCTCCTTTGGTGTGGTCTCTTTGGGGGCCATTTGGGAGAAAGAGAAACCAATAGTGCAACTGTTTTGATACTGAAAATTGACAAGTATCTTTTTAAAATAAAGAACCAGTCCCTCCAACCCTCAGACCTACTTGACTTTTATTTACTAATCCAAATGTGCTTTCTCCACAGGAATGGGGTTTAGGTTAACAATCAGATCTTTGTGGGTGGTAGTAACAGGGTTTAAAACCTTGCTCGGAGACTTCTAGTTATATGTCCTGATATAAATCATTGATTTTCATCATCTGTAAAATAAAGATAACATGTATTATCAGGTAAATGTGAAGATTTGAAATAATAACCATGTGCCAGTCCTTTTATCTGTTACTTAATTTAACACTGGCATCTTCAGGGTGGCCAATACATTTTTCTTTACAGCTGTATTAGTTCTTTCTTATAAACCATCGATTTATTATTAGGCTCTATGCTCCTTAAACAACTTCAATATTTGACACTGATCACATACTCCTATATATGTGTGGTTTTAGTAAACTGCCCTGAACAGGCTTTGAGCTGATACTCTTGGCTATTTGGAGAAAACAAGTTAATTTAACAAGAAGTGCTCTTAGTATTTGCTTAGAGATGGGCTAAGTGGATAGCTTTCAAAGCTGCCTTTGAGACACCAGTCTGGCATTTCCTGCACCCTGGCCATGAGGCTGGAGATGAACCTGACATCCTAGTAAAAATGACACAGCTTACATGACAACAACCAGCTACCTGTTTATAATCAAGACGAACGATTTTCCGTTAATTCGCACAGACCAATGCTGAGTGGAAATTACTGTCAAAAATAAAAAATGGTGGGGTGGGTCTAGGAGCCAAATAAGGTAAGCAACAAGAGAAAAGCTGGGAGAAAAAAAATTTTTAGACTTTTTTATTTTTACTATTAAAAAGATCTGCCATCCAATACTTAGTGGGTAGCTGGGTTTGTGCCTAAAGTTTCCATGATGATTTGCTGGAGCGTTTGAAAGCTGTTCCCACAATTCCGGGCCAGGAGGAAGCCCCACCTCCTGCTGACGTTACGCCTGAGGATTGGCCGATGGGGCTGAGGGCGCGGCTGTAGTGGAGCGGGAACTTGAATCCCGCAGTCGCCATGACTGGCTCTGGGGCGTCAGGGTCCGGAGGCTCGGGACGGGTTTTCTGCTTGCCTCCACACCTCCTGTTGCTGCTGCTGGCTCTGTTTGGCACTCTGGCCAACAAGCTTAACGTGCCACAGGTGTTGCTACCCTTCGGCCGGGAGTCCGGCCGAGTGCCCTTCCTGCTGAAGGCGCAGCGGGGCTGCTACACTTGGTGAGGGGTTGAGGGTCACAAGGGTGTGCGTCCCCACACCACCCAGTAAGGATGGGAGAGGCTCACCAATGTAGGAGGCCACGGGAATGCTTTGTGCCCACTTGGTGACTTTTCTGTAGGGAGGAGGGTGGGATGTTGGTGGGAGGGAGTGGAGTGGCCAGACTCCAGATGCGGCCTGTCCTCGTGTGGGACCTTATGTGAGGGAATGCTCAGGATGTGACACTGGCCATCTGCGTGTGTGTGTGTGTGTGTGTGTGTGTTGGGAGGGGTGGTCACTGTGGGAGTGGCAGTTAGAGCCCAGGTAGGCCCTGTGTGGGAGGCCTCTGGTACTGGGGCTAACCAATGTGGGGAACTAACAGTGTGAACAACTAGAGTGAGAAGGTCGGAGGAAATTTACTTAGGAGCAGAGGCTTGGGGTGTGAGGGTCCCAACCAACTAAATAAGGTGAGGCTTTCCGTGTGAAGGCATTTCAAAACATAACTACTGTGTTCTTAGCTAAGCACTTTCCATGTATTAACTCAATTTTTATAGTCTTATGAAGTACTATTACTCCTGTTTTACAGATGAGGGAACTGAGGCCAAGAGACCATGAAGTATAAACTTGTAATATGAAAAGATTCATTTTGGGTGAAGATGAGGTCTGCCTGTACTGTTTCCCCCCTTAAATGAGGGTACCCTCTTGAACTGTGAGGACAGGGGATACTCAACTCTAAGGGGGTGACTTCTGACTGAGGATGGGAAGTCATGATTTTCTTATGTGGGAGGACCCAAAGATAGGCTGTATGGTTACCTAAGGTGTGAGGGAACCTAACTGAAGTGGGCTTCAAGGTATCAGAGGGTTCATCCTGAAAGGAGATTTCCCTTTACCATCTCCTAAAAGAAGCACTATGGTTTGTTCACATCCCATTTTATGAGGGAGTATAAGGGAAGTATAATTGTAAGATGCCCTAGTGTGGTGTATTTCCTGACTGAGAGGCTGATGCAAGGAATCTTTCCAGCATTAAAAGCCATTCCATCCATCCAAAAATATTAATGATTTTTTTTTAAGTGGGTTCACACCTCAAAATTTTGGCAACTTTTCCATCTTGGATATCAGCAGTCCAATTTCTAGAATTGAAGGAAATTCATTCCTCAGTGTATGAGAAAGCCACTTCTTTCATTGGAAACAGCATCAATCCTATTTTTACATACCAAAGGAAGAATGTAGCAACCTCATTTTAAATATAGAGGAAGGAATGTGATTTTGCACATGGGATCATTGGGAAAAGGTTCTGATGAGTCTCCCACTTAAATCTTGTTTCCTAAGTAATGTTGCTATTTTGAAGAGAGTCATTTAAATACACCTGACTGTATAATATGGACAAATTAAAAGAATCTTTGTTCCACGAAAAGTTAATTTTAATCCACCTATTCTTATTTCATACTCTTAAGCATTTCATTCTGGCAGGCATTCCACGCATCATGATGTAGTAACTGTTGAGCCTTTATATGAAAATGGCACCTTATGTTCCCAAAAAGCTGTACTCATTGCTGAATCTACCCAACCTATACGCCTCAGCAGTATTATTCTTGCTCGAGAGATAGGTATGTTGAGAGAAAACTCACTATGTTACAGTAAAATAACTGTAGCATCCTATTCTGTGACTTTTTTTTTTATGGTGGCTGTTACAAAGTGGAAACGGAAACTCTGGTTTGAATCGATGAAGAGGGGAAGGAATTATTTATCAGAACTAGCTTAGGTGTTAAGGTCTGAGATTGGTCTCAAGTGAGGCAAAAGGTAGTGGTATAAAGACTAGTACTTCCCGAAGTGTGGTCTTGTGAACCTATATCATTAGCATTACCTGGAAGCTTGTTAGAAATGTAAATTCTTTTTATTTTTAATTTTAGTGTTGTTTTTCGTTTTTTTTAAGAGAGGGAAGAAAGGAGAAAGGAAAAAAAACATCGATGTGGTGAGAAAGAAACATGCCTGTGCCCCAACTGGGTATAGAACCAACAACCCGACCAGGAATTGAACCTGTGACCTTCTGGTACACAGGAGGACACTCCAACCAACTGAGCCACACTGGCCAGGGCAGAAATGTAAATTCTTAGGCCCCGTCCCAGTTCTGCTATGTCAGAACAAGCTTTCTGAGTGATTCTCATAAATACTCAAGTTTGGGAAGTACTGCACTAGTCTGTTTTAAACCAGAACAGCTCGAGAAATGCTATTCGTATCCAAAATCAGAACAGGGCTATATGTGTTCCTGAGTTTCTGGATCTTCATTGCCATATTGATAGGCCAGGAATATCTGTATGTCTTTTAAATATTTTGATAAATGATATATCTATGCTATGTTATTAAAGAAAAGTTCAAGATGCTTGGTATACCATATTTCATATAATTGAAGATGCCATATATTATAAAGTTATTTTTATGTACCACTATTATTTTATTACTACTAAGAAAGAAAAATACTGGCAAGTATGCTTTTCTTCATTTAGAATTTATACTTTATACCTACTGAAGAACTCTTTGACTTAACTAGATGGTTATTTTTATTATACATTACTGTCATGCCTAATAAAAAGGAAAGTATAAACATCAATGATGAGTCATTGATCAACTGCCTCCTGCAACCCCCCTACTGGGGATCGAGCCTGATACCCTGGCACGTGCCTTGATCAGGAATCAAACCATGACCTCCTGGTTCATAGGTCAATGCTCAACCACTGAGCCACGCGGGCTGGGCCATAAGGGAAAAAATTGAAAAAAATAAAGAGACATTTTTTGGTAAGATTGATATGGTTGCTACCATTTTGCTTAACTAAATGCATTTTTAAAAATCTGTTAGCATAATTTCATAAAAGGAAAAACATTTTAGCACTTCAAAAGTAAGATAGAATATAAGAATAAAGTATAGTCCTTTAAAGTGAACAAATTTAATTACTTGCTACTTTAAAATTATTTTCCTCATTTTTCCATGGATGAATGAAAACATCGTTGTAGATCAGTGTTTGGTCTAGTGTCTCTTACTATAAACAGAAGTTCTTATATTTTGTCATCATGTTGTTTTCTTCCACAGGTTGAAAGCATCTGTTATAGCCTTTCTTTTTTATATTATTTAGAATAAGTGCCTAAGTGTTTAAGACATTGAATAGATTCATGACCTGTTGAATTAAATTCTCAGTTTTTGCATTCATTATAGTGACTGACCATGAACTGCGCTGTGATGTTAAGGTTGATGTGATAGACAGCATTGAAATTATATCTCGAACTCGAGAACTCTATGTAGATGATTCACCACTGGAACTGATGGTGAGGGCATTGGATGCTGAAGGTAAAAAAGTTCAGAAGATTCAACAAAATTACTTAAAGTAATACTCCTTTATGTTTAGTATTTGGAAACAGAAACTTGAGAGATAAAAGTAGATTGGAATAATATTTATTTTCTCATATGAAGCTCATGTACATGAGGAATTAATAATTCTGAGTATGGTTCAATGTACTAGCTAATACTTTAGTAAAAATTTCCTGCTATATTGAGTTGTTGGTTATCTTAGAAGTTTCCTTGAATATCCAAATTCTGCCCTTAGCTTCTGCTGATGGATGATCCCTAGGATTAGCAATTAAGAACATTTTTTTTGGAATTTATTACTAACTCTGTTTTGATCAGTCCACTTTCTAAAGGCTAGGAAAATTCAATGTAAACCTGTGAACAAGTTTTATAATTTTAAATTTGTCTTTCTTGAGCCTGATTTTATATTGTTTTTAATATACTATACTAATGTTATAATATATTTAAAACATTT